AACTGGCTGTAGCATGAGAAGAAATAAAAGAGACAATTATTTTACTAGTTGAAATGACAGAATGCTAAATTATAAAATGTCAGGGGAAAAAATTTAGGCAATTTAAATTTCCTGGCAATGGGTCTATAATTTATTTGAGGCTCAGAGTACTCTGAGCTGTGGAGAAATGCATTTTGTGGAGAAAAAATTATACTTTTCACTGCCTGATTTTAGTGCTCAAATTACATTTTTCTTTTAAAAACATAAAGAATTGTTCTTGATTTTCAAATAGTCTAGTACAGTACCTACAAGGGAGCCTATTTGTGAGCTTTTCAAATTCCTCTTTTTATCCTCAAATAGCTTTAGTAAATTTTCTCCCTGCCTGGGATAAGTTCCATCCGTCTTTTTACCTTCAAATATTCTTGATGTCATTTATCTATAGTTTGTTAAATACTTAGAATAAGAGTTGTGATTTTACCGCTGAGTCTTGGAGGCTGACAATGCTATAGAAACTTTTTCTTTTTGGGGTAATAGTTAATCTTAATTTCAAATAATACTTTAAACATGAAGCTCTTATTTTTAAAGCACTCTTTAAATATATTTTAAAGGATTTTCTTTTGTATGAAGCTATTTAAGAAATAGCTAACTCAGTGCTTACTGCATTTGGAGGACTATCCTAAACTAAGAGACATATACTAAAGAAATAATACAGTACACTCGACCCTTGAACAACTTGGGGATTAGGGATGCTGACCCTCCATGCAGTCAAAAATTCACGTATAACTTAAACTTAACTACTAATAGCCTACTGTTGACGTATTAGCCTTATTGATAATGTAAATGGTCTATTAACACATATTTTATATTGTATCATATATTGTATTCTTACAAAAAAAAGTAAGTTAGACAAAAAGGAAATGTTATTAAGAAAATCATAAGAAAGAGAAAATAGATTTGCTATTCATTAAGTGGAAAGTCTTCATCCTCATCCTCTTCACGTTGAGTAGGCTGAGGTGGAGGAAAAGGAGGAGTGGGTCTTGTTGTCTCAGGGGTGGCAGAAGAGGAAGAGCTGGAAGAGGTGGAAAGGAGGCAGGAGAGGAAGCCACACTCAGTGTAAGTTGCCTGCCTCAGCTTCATCATCTCTAAAATGGGATTATGATATAACCTACCTCGTTGGACTGCTGTGCGGCTTCAAAGAGTTAACACATACGTAGAGCATTTAGAATATTTCCTAGGACAGTCAGCTCTCTAAAACTGATCTTACCTCAGTCCTGGTGTTTTCAAACTGATTGACTAGTTTTATCTAGAGGCCTACTATCTAGTTGGAGAAGTCAAACATCCAGAAGAGGATACATAAAAAGATTTCATGACCTGGGGCAAATTAATAGGTACTGAGAGGATGTGGCATTCAGATGCTACCATAGTAAAGAAGGCAGAATCTAATTCAAGATGATGGTTAGGAATAGGCGAAAACTGAATTTAGTTTGAAAGGATAAGTAATGGCTGGGAATAGTGACCCACACCTGTGATCCTAGTGCTTTGGGAGGGCGAGGCAGGAGGATCACTTGAGGCCAGGGGCTCAAGGCCAGCCTGGGCAACAATAGTGGGACTCCCATCTCTACAAAAAATACAAATAAATTAGTCGGGTATGGTAACATGCACCTGTAGTCCTGGCTGCTTGGGAGGCTGAGGCAGGAGGATTGTGGAGAGGATTGTTTGAGTTCAAGGTTACAGTGAGCTATGATTGTGCCACTGCACTCCAGCCTGGGTGACAGAATGAGATCCTGTCTTTATTTTATTTTATTTTTTAAAAAAAATATATGTAAAGCAGGTGAAAACTGTTTGGGTGGGTATGTGAGAGAGAAAATACGGCAAAAACAAAGACCGAGAATTTTAAAGACAGAGAGTCTTTAACACATGATGTAAAATAACTAAGGACAGACAGTATGAATCTCTGGCCAAAACTGTAAACTTAGTAGAACAAAGACAGAGTCAGTGAGAAAATCTAAAAGTATGACTTCCAGTCCACTTTTATGGTTGCTACATCAAAATGAGGCAGAGGCAGGTCACACGGTTCTTTCGTCAGTCTTCTTCTCAATGTTGAACTCCTTTTAATTTTCTTGAAAGGGCTCAAGTAAAAGCAACTAAGAAAAAATAAGTCTTACATGCCTAGTGGTAATTCTCTTCCTGGGACACACTGAGATATGCTTTTAATTCTACATTTTCCACAAGGATGGCAAGATTTCAATTGAATGAGTTTAAATTGTTGCATGTTTCCATTGAGGCAAAGCACACTTCTTGTATTCTTTTACTGCATTCGTATAATTTGATAATTTATGTTTTTCACCCTAAATCTCAATAACAGTTTTCTACTTTTTCTTTCTTTCTGTTTCCTCCAAATAGATTGAGGAGAAAGTAAAAAATGCCTTTGTAATTGATGGATTTTTTATCTATTCTTTTTTTTTTGAGGTGGAGTCTCGCTTTGTCACCCAGGCTGGAGTACAGTGGCGCGACCTTGGCTCACTGCAACCTCCGCCTCCCGGGTTCAAGTGATTCTTCTGCCTCAGCCTCCCGAGTAGCTGGGACTACAGGAGCATGCCACCACGCCTGGCTAATTTGTGTATGTTTAGTAGAGATGGGGGTTCACCATATTGGCCAGGCCGGTCTCGAACTCCTGACCTTGTGATCCACCTGCCACGGCCTCCCAAAGTGCTGGGATTACAGGTGTGAGCCACTGAGCCCAGCCTGTTACCTATTCTTGACAATTGTGAGAATAACTTTAATCTGCTTTTTACAATTTCAAAAGTTGCTGATTGATCGGTTTTTGAAAAAAATGGCCAGGAAGGTAAAAGTGTTTTAAAACCTCATGGTATGTCTTCAGAAGCTTGGGTTTTGAGATTTATGAAAACTAGGTAAACAGTATTTTTAAAAGAGAGGCATGGTTTTTCTCTAGAAATATTTTTAGCTAATAACTTGGTTCATTTTCTTAGTGTTTATTAGGATGTGTTCTACAGTTTCTATCATTTTCTTTTTAGAACTTGCTAAAAACAGAGAGAAAGTCTTAATTGTCCCCACTATGCTAGGTCCGTCTAGAGGCAGAACTGTTCTGACATAATTCTGTCCTGTCCCTTTCTTGAGTCAGGAGTTTCAAAACTTTTGTTCTGGCAGCTAGCTCTTTCAATAGAGCTACTCAGCACATAGTTGTCTCAAACATACTTTTTCTAAAATCTGGCCACATCCCAAGATCAAAAGTTTATAGAATTTCCCCACTCTTCAATTTGTTTACATTTTATATTCATGAACCTGCCATCTGCATTTCCGCTATTTTTGAAAAGCTGAACTGGATAGTAGAGGTCAGAAGTTCCATGAACTGTCAAACTGCTATAAGCAGTCACTTCAGAACCTAAACTCAGACAAGCAAAATGGAGACGTGAGTCTAACACACATCACCAGGTGGCAGGTTCATATGTTGTCTGTTGTGAAGGCTGGGATCTCCAGGGTTTTCATCATGCTAGGTTATCAAGGTCTGAGGTAGTATGCTTGATAGTTTGTGGTGAAGACTATAGAGTCAGCTTTTCTAGGTTCAAATTCCAGCTCTGTCACTGTTCTAGGTGTCTATCGCTATGCAACCACCACCCGGATGACAATCTTTTATTATTATCACTTACGTTCCCGGGGCCTGACTTGGCTCAGCTAGGTTTTCTCTCTAGGTCTCTCAGGCAGCGTGGTCAGTCAGAGTTCTTTCAAAAGCTCGCCAACTCACATGCCTGGTATAAGTTGTACTGGCAGTAGACTGGGTCCTCGGCTGGCACCATCAGCCCAAATACCTACACATGGGCTTCCCTGTGGCTTGAGCTTCCTCACAATATGGCAGCTGGGTTCCAAAGGTGAGTGTCCCAAGGGAGAGCCAGGTGAAACCTCTGTCTCCTTTTATGACCTAGGTTTGGAAGTCACATAGCATCACATCTGCTGTATTCTATTTGTTACAATCAAATCACTAAGTCCAGACCATATTCAAAAGGAGGGCAATTAATATCCACTCTCTAATGGGAGTCTTCAAACCACCATAGCCATGTATTCCCTGAAGACCTCTCTGTCCTTGGCTTTGCTGGTCTGTAAAATAAGGATAATGAGAGAAACTTACCTCACAAAGTTTTTGTGAGGATTAAACAAAGAACAGTCCCTGGTACCCAGTATGTGTTAGTTTAGGACATTATCACACCACCTGTACATCTGAAGTGATGCTGATGGTGACATCTAATGACGGGGCAGTTCCCAGCAGACACAGTCTGTGAAGGTCCCACCTTTCCAAACTCTACTAGTGGCATTTAACAAATCCCAGCGCCTGTGGTTCTTATGCCAATGGGAACAGTTACTATATATGGTCTGAATTCTTTAGTTCACCTCACTTTAGTGACAGTTTCCAGATACAGGTCAGTCCATTTAAACCTGTCCCATTTATGGCAATTTATTTCATTACAGGATAAAGTAGTTAGAACCATGAGTAATAATTACTGTGTCTACAGTGCTTTTAACACCTCACTCAAGTAATCCTCACCTCACCCAGTGAGTAAGTTTGAATGCGCACCCTTCCCTGTGCGGAGATGAAGAAACCAGGACCTGGGTCAAGAGGATTGTTCTCAATTCTCCAATGAGGCAATAGGGCTTGAGTGAGGTGTGTGTGTGTGGGGTGTCCCGATTCTCTGGCCCCTACATGCCTGTATAATACACCCCATCACTGATGATTACTCAGGGCCAGTTAATACACTCTATTCAAATATGTATGGATATTTCAAATTTCTTTTAAACTACCTCTCATTTATCTATAACATAAAGAATTGGCCAGTAGCTATTACCCACAATGTGAGATCAAGTAATTTAAAAGATACTAAAAGTCCTGTAAATGAAGAAACACCACACCACTCAGTATTCTTTTTTCTTTTTCTGTGAAATTAATATTTTCTGATATTCTTGGCATCCAAACATTTTCATCTTGGGGAGGAGGAAAAATTGAGACTTACTTCCACTCTTTGCCGGAATGTGCCCCCAGGCTGGCTTCGAGTTGTCAAACGTTGTATTTCTCATTTTATGTCAATAAGTCTGGAAGAAAAAAGGTAGAAAGACTGCCTTCCGTGGGGGCCGCGACGGTCGCCCTTCTTTCCCTCAAGCCTCGTCCCATCCAGGCTCACCCCCGGTGCAGAGGGTCTGGCCGCAAACCCGCAAGGCGCGGAGGCCGCCACGACGCTCACCGGGGGGCGCTGTGAAGCCGGCACCGGGCGGCCGGAGGTGAGTCGGCTCGGAGGCGGTGGCTCCTGTTCCTGCCCGCGCGGCGAGGGGCGAATCCCAGGCAGCGAGGTCGTCGCCCCCGCCCCTCGGCCGGCCCCTCCGCCAGCGGGCTAGAGGGGAGTGGCCGGGCTCCTCCCGCCGCCGCTGAACACTCCGCAGCCGGGTGCGCACGGGAGTCTCAACCGCGGCGCGTGGAGGCAGTGCCTGAGCGCGGGGCGCGCAGTCGGCCAGCAGCCGCGGGACAGCCTTGGCCGAACAGCCGCGTCGGGAGCCCCGCAGCCCCGGGCAGGGCCCGCGTCCCGGAGAGCCACCGGAGAGCGAGGACGACGTGGAGGCGGAGTGACGCCCGGCGAGGTAGCGCCAAGCAAGGTAGCGCGAGCGCTTTCTCTCTCCCCTGCCCTTCTCTCTGCGTCCGGCCGCGGCCCCCGAGGCGCACGCCCCGCGCCTTTGTGCCCGCGGTCCCTGGCCCGGTCGCCCCCTGCGGGCGGGGGTCAGCGGGTTCTGCCGCTGTCTCGGGGGAGGCGGCGCTGCGGCGGGAACCGCGCACGCTGTAGGTCGCGGAGGGTGGTCGTGACTCCGCAGTGGCTTCGGGGGTGGCGGGAGGGAAGAAGGGCTTGTAAAGTAAGTTGCTCGCTCTTTGCCCCGTGCCTCTTGTACCTGTGGGGAGAGTCGAATCTCGGCTGTCCTCGTGTTCACCCACAGCCCCTCCATCCCTGTGACCCACAGCTGTTTCCTGGCTCCCTGGAAAGACACGGTGTGGCTTCCTCCGGGCAGGAAAGCGGAGGGAGAACAATGGGGCATCCTGGGGAGTGGGGTTCAGGTGCGGTGTGCCCCGGCGGCGGCGGGGGAGGAGGGGCCCGGGACGCTGTGGGCCTCCCTGCGCGTGCAGCTGCCCTCTCCTCCTTTGTTCCGCCGCAGCGGAGGGGGTTGCCCTGGGTCTCGTTTCCTGCCCGGGATGGGATTGATTCACGGTCCCAGAGAGGGAAGGGGAAGGGGGCGGGGCTGGAATGGAAAGCAGATTAGAGACGGGAGCCAGGAAGGGTGCTGGTATCGGGAAGAGACTTGGGGAGAGGGTTGGGAGAGGGTGATGAGAGCGCGCTGGAGAGGTAATTGCAAACACAACATTTTGTTCAAGGGCCCTGTGAGTTTCTGGAGCTTATTTGTAGCGCTTTGTTCAGGCTTCGGCCCAACGTTTGTTGCTGCAACAAGTTGTGTGCTTCTTGAGTTTCTAGGCGCTCCCAATGTTAGATTGCTCAAAGCAACTCTTGTTAATTACAGTGAAAGAAGCCCTCCCCCCCGTTTTTTTTTTTTTGAGAATTGAAAAAATTTTGCTATGAACTATTATGGTGTGTATGTGTGTACTTCTGGGTCTGTGTGTGTAGCTAGTGGATATTGGCTGGAATGGGTAGGAGACAAATTTTATAGAATCAATTTTGACATAATTTTTTTAATAGTATAATATAGTACAACAGTTTTCCAGGACTGTTTGAGGGCAGAAACCACCAGAAAATTAGACATTGCTATAAATGAATCAGACTATGTAACACAATTGAAAAACACTTTTACAGTCTGTCCCAGAAAACACACCACACACAGCAGCGTTTGGGGTTTGAACTGAGGAGCCCTGGCATTCAAGTGTTCTGTGCTTTCACTCTCTGTGTGAGGATCATTTAGAGGTGGTAGAATTAAACGTAATATGTCAGACATTTGTTAAGCGACCCTTTCCTAGATTGGAATCGAGAATCCCCAAAGGATTGGCTGACGTGGGGAGGAAGCTATGGGGGATTGAATGATGTGTGTTTTTTGAATGGGGTATTCCAAGCAAAACTGTTTTGGGAGGAGGCTGACATTTCCAGGCATTCATGGTTTGTACCTATGGGACACTGGTGGAAGGATTCCCAAAGTCGGACTGAAGGTTAGAATTACTGTGGTGATAATTTAGGAGACATTCTGTTGTAGTAGTCTGGCTGCAGACAGGATTGGGAAGTGGCCCAGAGCTGCCTCTTTGACAAGCTGAGGGTCCGCCATTAAATCACCCCTTTGGCCATTTATTTTGAGATGAACCAAGTTTGAAAGCCTCTTAACCTGAGAAGGCGAATTAGGAGCTTGCTGTGGGGGAAAAAAATGTCTCCTGCCCACTAAATGGTAATGGAAAAGAGCTGTGTAAGCTACTGCTGAGGGTTTGTCTTTTTCGTGGGGGATGTGGTCAAATTTTCAGGCCAGGCTGAAAAGCACTGGGACTTGTCCTCAGGAGCCATTATGATGTGAAGTTGAAGTGGGATGGTGTCCAACCGTCAAGCTGTTTGTCATTAGAACTAACACACTGCCTGGCAAAACGCTGTGCTGGGGCAGCTAACAGAGGGAGACTTGTTTTGTTGTTGTCTTACCATTTTGGACTTTTCACTTACGCTGTGAATTGTTTTATAAAATACAACACAATTGAAGTCCTCTCAAGTACTCCTTGTTCTATACATTAACAAAATGTAAAGCATCTGAACACTGCCACTACTGGAGATGCGGACAGACAGCAGAATCCTAAGTGGCTGGTCTCTGGCCTCTGGCCTCTGGCCATTCTGGTGGATGCCTGATTGTGTGATAAGGCTGGCAACAGGCTGTACCCCCTTCCCAGGATGAATCATCACTTTGTCAAGCCTGGAGTTAAAGACTAACTTTCCCTGACCGCTGCACAGTTATGCAAAGCAAGGAGGAACGTCTGACATCATGGGGAAGAAGAGGGAGTGAAGTGGGTGGGTGGTGTTTGGCTAAGAAGGGATCTCCAGCATGTAGCATCCATGTTTTTAGCATTTGTCCTCCTTTGGGTAAGATTGTCGTCTTATCTATCTCCCTTCTTCTGTTTTCAATAGCTGAACATTTGGATTTTTTGTTTTGTTTTGTTTTGAGACGGAGTCGCGGTCTGTCGCCCAGGCTGGAGTGCAGTGGCGCAATCTCAGCCCACTGCAAGCTCCACCTCCCGGGTTCATGCCATTCTCCTGCCTCAGCCTTCCAAGTAACTGAGACTACAGGCGCCCGCCACCACGCCTGGCTAATTTTTTGTATTTTTAGTAGAGACAGGGTTTCACTGTGTTAGCCAGGATGGTCTTGATCTCCTGACCTCGTGATCTACCCTCCTCGGCCTCCCAAAGTGCTGGGATTACAGGCGTGAGCCACTGCGCCTGGCCGAACATTTGAATTTTAATTAGCCTCACAATAATTAGAGCTATCATTTAATATGTGTTCATTACGTGCCAAGAAGTTTACATACATTTGCTATATTCATCATCACAACAACTTGATAAAGTGGGTGTTATCTCCATTTTCCAGTGGAAACTGAGGCCTGGAGGAGTTAAGTAACTTGCCCCTCACACCGTACAGAAGCTCCTAGATTTACAATGGGGTTATGTCCTGATAAACCCATCATAAGTTGAAAATATTGTAAGTTGAAAATTCATTTAATACACCTAAGGTACCGAACCTTTAATGTGTCCAGAACAGTTACATTAGCCTACAGTTGGGCAAAGTCATCTGGTAACACGGTCCACTGTAAAGTATTGGTGGTTCATCCTTGTGGTTGTGTGGCTGACTGGGAGCGGCGGCTCACTGCCACTGCCCAGCATTGCGATAGGGTATCATACTGCATATGGCTAGCCCCAGAAAACATCACAAATCAAACTTCTAAGTACAATTTCCACTGAATGCCTGTCATTTTTGCACCATTGTAGAGTCAAAAAATCCTAAGTTGAACCATTTTAAATTGAGGACCATCTGTGCTTGTGTAGCTAACTAGTAAGTGGTGGAAGTGCAATTTGGAATTCCAAAGTCCATACTCTTTAGGTATATACTGTATGCTATGATATGTGTTAATAATAGGAATAACAACAGTTTGATTATCTAGTTGATTAGCCCTTGGCAGATTTCAAATTACTTTCACATCTATTATTGATTCTTCCAAAAACCACTGTGAGATAGGTTTGGAAGGCCAGGTTAGGACATTACAACTCTTAGAACTGTATTGCTAAAGAGCTGTATGTTATGGCCTGTGTGAATAAGCTGTAAGTGAATGAAACTTTATTTTTAAAAAGTTAGGCTGCCAACGTTTAAAAATAAGTTCTTTTTTCCAAACATTAAAAGTGGTAGAACACAGTAGATCTTATATTGCATTCAAGGCTTTTATGTTTATTGAAATCCATTTTAAGCCCTTTTTATCTTACAGCCTTTAATAGAACATTGCACTTTGCTTCTTAACTGAGACCCAATGCCAGAGTGTCTTTTTAAGAAGAGAAATAAGGAGGGAAGGAATGTGCTTATAAAGAGGAAGTGGGACATCAGAATTGGAAACACTCGCAGCAGCAGGCCGTAGATTTTTCTCAGCACATGCTTTTTGTCCTGGCAGTAGCCTTTTACAGAAGACATTCTTCCTTAGGGAAGTGTCAAGGGTCTTTCTGTACAATATCCTCTGAGATCATCAACTTTCTGAGCTCTGTGGGAACACATATTCTGCATGATTTTTGTGCTCATCCCTTCCCCACAGGGGAAGTAAACTAGTTTAGGCATCTGCATGAAAAGGGAATAGCAGTCGTGTCTGTCCTTAGGGTGGCACTGACAGTGGCACTGGGCAGGAGGTACCAGACCTTGACACCAAGTACAGGAGCAGAATGGAGTTTAACACTTGGCATCATGGATTGTTTGTGGATTCCTCAGAATGCTCCTGGGCAAATGGAAAAGTCAATACTGGGTTTTTTGTTTTGTTTTGTTTTGTTTCTAAGATAAGAATTTGAAGACTGGAAGTTCTGCCTTGTTTATTTCAAGCTAGGACACCATTTGGGGTCTTCTCAGGTTTTGTGGTATAGGTGACAGTAACTTTAGTCTCCTCGGGCAATGAAATTCTCCTCCACTGGCTGTTTTAGACGTTTGCCTCTGGAGGAGAGGCAGACACATGGTTTGCTAAACTCTAGCAGGTGACCGCCTTCCAACTTCTCATAAGCAGCATAGAGGAGGAAAAAGGATGTTTCCCAGCATTACACTCTTACAGCCTTTGGTAGGTCTTTGCAGTTCTCAGCCTCTTCTTCATCAGTTCATATTTTATTAAGCACACAGGTCATGCAAGGCAATGCATTAGACACATTTTAAAAGGAAGAAAGGAAATCCATTGTGCCTTCGGGGACGTTTTAGCAGGGCAGGGGGATGCATTCCAAGAGTGGATGTTGGTGAAATGAAAATGGCTATGACAGCTGTAGTGACCAAGGCCAGGGGAACACTTGCTTTTGAGACAAAAGCTGGGAACAAACAGAAGCAAGAGAGTGGAAGAAAACTGAACACAGGTGCCAGCTTCTTCTCCGACTTAGGTTTTATTTCCTCCAGCCTCCAATGATGTGAAAGGGTTCAGGTTGAGAACCCTGACTGAGGTCCAAAAAAATGATATATAAACTACCATTCAATGGGAGAAGGTTTGAATAACAGTGTCTTCCCTGGTGCATGGCAGGTCCTTGGTACCTCTGCCAACCCTCTTCTCTGCACACCTGCCAGCATCCCTTCCTCATCCTGTGTTCAATGTGGCTGTCAACTAAGGCTGTTAATAGACTTCAGTCATATTTGCATTTTAAAAGGCTCTTGTGGACCAGACATGCCAAGTCTCCAAAGAATGAATCATTCATAATGAGTTATATGATATAACTCATGCTACTGTTTTTTAAGTTTTGGGTGCTTGCTTTGTGCTAGGCCTCATGCTGGGTACTTTCTGTAGGTTGATTTCCTTCTCATCACTGTCCTTTAGTAGGAGATATTTGTAGATGAGGGAATTGAGTCACTAGCCCAGAGATCAAGCCTCAGAGACCACTTGCTTCCCAGAACAACGAAGTGCCACCAGGTAGGGTGTACTGTGAAGCTTTGAATGAGTACTGTGAAGCTTTGGGCAAATACTTTGGTTCTTTGGGTGAGTACGTTGATGCTTTGGTCACTTGTAAGGAGTTCGT